CCTTCAAGAAAGAAGTTGATGCCAGTGATTTCAGCCCATGCATTAACAGGAAACAACAATAAATGTGTAGAATTCATATTTTTCTAAAGGGAACTTAAAAACTCCTGCTACACGGTGTACAAAGCTGGTTTATGCCACACGAACAGAATCACAAGATTAGTTTTGGCACTTTTGTTCCTCTTTGTATGCAGTTGTATAGTACTTCCAAGTTCAATGAGAAGAAAAGCTGTTCTGTATCAAACCATCTAAGCAATAAGTGTTATATTTTAAAAACGGGGGGGGGGAAATCCTCTGAAGATTAGAGAAATTCTTTTGATATTATTTGGCATCAGAAATATTTGTATCATGTCAAATGCTGTTGCTAGCATATTGCTAACCTAGTCTTTAGGGTAAGCTACAAGTAGCATAAAAGGAGACACCTGTAATACGTTGTATGAAGTTAAATAAATTGTTAAGCTATATAGAGAGTAAATACATATAGTTTGCAATGTATATAATAAACCCCATTTCATTTATAATAAACCTTACCCTTTGGATTACCTGGCCCATAAATTCTGTGAGCTCTAAGGCAGAGCAGCTCCCCCATCTAACCTGCATGCCTGTACGTAAGTGGGATGTGTTGATGAGGTAGAGAGGCTATGACAGAGGAGGTTTGGCTTATATAAAGTGGATGAAAAGGGTTTGCTCAGCAAATTAACAATTGAAAAAGATTAGGCAAGAGATGTAGTTTATTCAAGAATAATAGCAAAGTCAACCTTTTAAAAGTACTAAAAATGTCTTTTCCTGAAACCTTTTGTATACAAGAAGTGCTGCTTACAGACCTCAACAACGGAGCAAAGATTACATATATCGAGATTGCCATCTTCCCAGTAGTGAAAATAATAAAAGCCTTCAGGTATAATCTTCAGTTTATTTTTTATAGAATCTGCCCCTCCCCCAGTGAAAGATACTACTATAGTCCTGTATGCTCCAGGATGAAATGAGCTATTGGCTGTCTTATTTCAGTGATCTTAGAAGGTAATTCCAGGAATTTAAAAGGTCTTAATAGTTTGGGCAGAAGAGGTGTTTGAAGAAAAAATGCATGTTGTATATTAGACCCATGTAGCTTTTTCCTGTGCTCTTTCCCTGGGTCAGGTCATCTTCCGGATTTCTTAACCAGTTCAGACAGCATAAACAGGCCACTGTAGAATATGGTGATGCTAATGAAATGGACAGAAGGTGATTTTAACAAGGCAGAAACTGTGAGTGCACCTCTCATGGCATTTTTGAAATGATACCATTTTTATAAAATGTACACATTTCTGAATTATTAAAGGATTCTTTCTGAAAAATAACTTGTTTTAGTGGTAATGTAGACATATTTCTTCTGTTGGCTACAGTTCGTTATTTTTTTAATGGGGACCTTCATTTACTTCAGGTTCTCCATAAGGCCTAAACTAAAGTAGATTAAATGCTACCAAAGTTGGTTGGAAGCATTTTTCAGTGTTAAAAGCTTACTACTACCACAGTTGACTGTCTGTGCCATGGTCGACAACCCATCAGATTACATTGGCCTACATGCCCAAGTAGCGTAGGAGGATTCCCGTAGAAAAGTATGGGCCTCTCCGCCACCTTGGAATTTAACCACCTGAACCAGAAAACTATAGAACCAGGGGCGGGTACTTTCAATTATTCATCTGCAACATTGACTTTGTTCAGTTTCCATTGGCCCTTCTGTACGTCGCGGAGTGCCGAGTTAGCGTTAAATGGGATTCCAGAGTCTGCACCGTGCACCTAAATAGACTCAAGACGTCATCCTTTTCCCTTGGAGCCCCGAGCGCCTTCCCAGAGCGCACCGTCCACCCTGGTCTTGCCCTCGCCCTCTGGCGCTCGAAAGATCTTTTTCCTGAACGTGGAGCTTGGAGCTCCTGTTCGAGAAGTGCTAAGTCAGGCCAGTTAGATGTATTTTCCTTCTGAGATATTTCCTCTGTGACTTCTGTGCCAAATTGGCGTATTTTAACTAGACAAGGCAAGTTTTGGATTGTCTTGCTTCTTCAGGGTTAGTCTGAAAATCAAGTCGTATTCTCCCCTGTGCATCCCTGTGAGTCGCCAACAACAATAATTACAGATCATGTTATCTTGTGGCAATTATCTGCCTATTTTGATAAAAATGATCTTAGTAGGAAGAATGCATCTTGATTTCAGAAAACCTTCAGGGCAGAGGATCACACCAAGTCTCTCTTCTGAACACTTGCTCAGACAGCCGTCCCGGGGAGGTGCACAGGCTGCCCAAGTCACTCAGGCCATGTGCGTCCCCCAGAGGCGTGCTTGCTGAGGATAAGCCCTCCACATGTGCCTTCTCTGGGACAGCGTGGTCCGCAAGTGCAGGAGTCCTGGGTGGTGAAAAGATGTTCCACATGCTGCCAAAATCAAAATGCATCCACGTTCTGCGTCGGAGTCAGTTCGCACAGGAGCGTGCCTGACTGGTGGCACGCCGGTCCCCCATCTCCAGTGGGCAGATCCGCGCGGCCTCTTCGTAAGAGTGGGACAGTAAACGCGCAGTTGCTCCCAGACTTTTAGTCGAGTACCTGCTGAAAGTCAGCCTTTTATT